AGTCTCAGGCAAAACGGGGGAGTCCGGATCCGGTTGTGTTGTTACGATCGGTTTTCCCTTGCAAAAAATAAGCTAAAGTGGACATTTCTTGTTCTAACATAACCAAACTTCAAGAATCCCTTGCAAAAAATAAGGTAAAGTGGACATTCGCGCGCGCAAGACGAAATCCTTCCAAAACCTTAGTTTTCGTAGCGATTTTAACATAAAAACATCAACAAACCAATGGTTTTTCAAAACAAAATTGTCAAAATTTCATCCCGCGCGCTCTTGCGGATTCGTAGGAAACCCAACACTTTTTAATCATTTCTGTCAAACGGGCTTTTGCGAGCAACTTTTTCGAACTTCTGCAACAACGGTTGCGCACCTGCCAGGGCCATCATCCCTGTCAAATAATACCATGCGGGACACATTCGTTTTTTTCTTCGCGCGCGCACGCCGAAATCTTCAAAAACCATTGGGTTTCTTAGGAATTTTAGCACCGCGCAACATAAAATCATACGAATCGCACCGTAGGTCCTCGAAAAACATCTGTACGCGTACCGAAAAACCAAAAACCAGTACAGGTGTCCAGTGTTGGAACAGGGGGAAAAGTCGTATACTAAGCTAGCGTCCAGAAAATGTTACCACAACAAGTCACTGTACCCATGCGCCAGTGTAGTAGCCACGGTCGTCCGCAGGCCACGAAGTGAAGTGTCCGAACGTCATAGGGCGGGAAGCTGGGTGTGGGTGGTGGCGAAGAGTCGTTTGGAAATGTGGTAGAGCTTGAACCGGCCCCCCCACAAAGTGGGGGTATTGGCCGCGTCTATGAAAACCCTGGCACTGGTGAGAACGGAGTGTCCCCACGTGCTAGTAATTGTTGTTGTTGTTGTTGTTGTTGTTGTTGTTGTTGTTGTTGTTGTTGTTGTTGTTTTTGTGGTTGTTGTTGTTGTTGGTGGTGGTGCTGTTGTTGTTGTTCTTGTTGTTGTTGTTGTTGTTGTTTTTGTTGTTGTCGTCGTCGTCGTCGTCGTGGTCATCGTCGTCGTCGTCGTCGTCGTCGTTGTTGTTGTTGTTGTTGTCGTCTGCTGC